CTTTAAAGGTCCCTTTCAAGCCAAACCATTCTAGGATTTGATGATAATTTGCTTTCGCAGGATGTATACTGAAAGCACAACAGCAGATATTTTGGTGTGAAGTTACCTGGGAACAAGGTGAATGAACCTCACTTTTATGAGAACTGAGAGTTGGGCTGAAAAATAAACTAGGCAAAATTATAGAGGTTGTTGTAGAGAAACAGGGATTTCCAGCAATGAAAAAGACACAACTGTCTGCTGTCTACAGGTACAGAGATCTCCATGGAAACTGCTGTTCATTTAGAGTGTGTATATTCCTGTCACATGCCACCCTTGTCACTCAAACCCTTTTAGATCATGAAGCTCCCGCCAGACAGAACAGACTTCTAGAGCTTCTTCAGATCAGGTGAAGGGTCTGTAGAGGGGCAGGCTCCGAACCAAGCAGCTGAGGTCCTTAATGCCAGTGAGTCCCTGCTGCCTGCAATAAGGGAGAAGGTGCTGATGGAGCCTGAGCCTCCCAGGTGATGCCAAACCACTGCAGTGGTTTGACCCCTCAGCATCGCTCAGGGAACAGAGACAGGTTATCTGGATGCCTGAAGTACCCGCAAGCCCCTCCTGATGCGAACAAGCAAAAGCTTAGTTGAGGAAGTCAATTTTAGAGACAAATTTGTACACAGCCTTATCCCTCTAGTGTTACCTTCCAAACCCCATTCTGATCTCAGTATAAGAGAGAAACAGTGATAATGAAGAGAGGCTTTTTTTAGGTAGCCATGGTTAAAAAAATAATTCTGATGGGTCAAAAGAGACAAAATGGTACAAAAAAAGAAGAAACCTGAAAAAAATTCAGTTTTAAAACTAAAGGACACCATAAATTTGCTTGGGAAATGCTGGTTACATTTTACCTTCAGAACTAGATTGATATGGGAGAATGAATTCTGTCTTGAGATGTCAACTATTTTGCTTAATAACCTTAAAACACCTGTATTGCAAAATTAGGGAATGTGTAAATATAGTTCTGATTAATTTTTCTGAAATTAACAAAATTATGAGACAAATTTGTGTTTACAGATACAAGGTAATTCATTATGTCAGCAAGTCCAAACCCACTATTTTAACAGTATTTCAAGTAGGTTGAAGATGCTGAACCACAAACTCCACAAAATCTGTACTGCAGAATCAGTCCAGTGAAGAGACATATTAAGCATTATTTTGTACAGTTTTTTCTTTTTTTTAAAGGAAAATATGTTATTTATTGATTTTGCAATAAAACATCTGTAATACATAACAATGCACCCTATTACATAATTAATAATATTTAAGCTATTAATTGTAAAACATCACATCACTCTTTCTTCTTTTCAAAAAAATAAACAAACCCAAACTTGATCTATGAAATATTTAACTCACACATTTTGTTAAACTCCTTTACTGAAAAGTGGCATTCCCAGGGGTGGCAAGGGAAGTCTCAGAGAGCAGGCACACCTAAACCTGTAACTACTAGTTTATGGACCTTGTTGTGTGAGTCCTTGGCTTTTAAAAGTTGCCACATGTACAAGGCTCTCATATCTCCTGCAAACAATTGTCCTGCTTTCAGTATTCCTGCTGGACTCCCTAAAGCTACCACACAATACTTATATAAATAAAACTATCCAAAACTTTTAATCACGTCCCTGAACAAATCTATTTACAGTAAGTACGAAATATTACTTTTAACTGCAATATTCCACTTAATTGGTCCAGGTCTGAATTACTGTTATTTATTTCTGTATTTTATAAATGTCTGGGATTTTTTTTAGTAGTGTTTCCAAATTCATAATTAAGTGCACTTTTAATAGCAGATAATACTTCAGAAGTGCCTTGGAATATGGTCTAATATACAATTACATAAAAAAGCAGGTTTCCATATTATTTTTGTCCAATCCTATCCATAATGGGTTATTCCCATGAGAATTCCCCCCTGGGACTAGCACTACCATTGAGGATTGCTTAAAATGAACAAGCACCAGCTCATCATTCTGCCACTCCATTTTGAGTCTGATTATACAAATGCTAAGGGTTTTTAAAAGAGATTTTAAATGCTTACATGGCAAAAGTAAATAGGACATTGGATTGAAGGCTCAGAGTAGAAATTTTTTACTTCAGAAATTCAGCAACCTGACATAGTTAAGAGAAGCACTATTTTTGTCTCCTTACCAAGACAGTGCCTTTCATTCTAATTTAGTGTAGACTATTTCAGACCTTCTAGTATACCACTGACTAGATTTTCTCTGTTAATGTAGCTGCCACCACTCAGACATGCTCAGTCAATTACACTCACACCCCCACACCCCCCTAACTCCCTTATTTTTTAACCTCATTTTTTCACTCAAGGTCTGTTCTGCACCTTTAGAAATCCATCTTACAGTGCTAAACTGTTCTCCATTCATAGAGCTTTACTCCCAATGGGAGGACATTTTCTTCTCTTTAAACCTACAGTTTTGCAGTTTCTAGTGCATTTTAATGTTCCTAATCTTTCAAAATAAGCTTTAGCATTAGTTCATTTAGTTGGAAGTCAGATTTATTTCATTGTTGAATTACTGGTTTTAGAATCTTTGCAATAAATAACACCTTCTACACTATGTACTTCAGAGGCCTCATTTTATTACTGGGACTATGCTATCTGTGAAAATGCCCTTATTTATAAAGTTTTTTTTATTATTTATAAATCTTTAGGTTTTGGTAACCAACTCCTAAGTATGTTCTTTCCCTAGATTCTGACTTAGAATTTCTTTTATGAAAAAAACTGCTCTAATGTATATTTACTATTGAAAGTAAAGCCCTTTAATTCATAATCTAATTTTTCATTGCATGTTTTCAATGCTTCAGTAAAACACTTTCAAATAGGGAACCACTATCAGGCACTGGTCATCATATACAGATTTGTTTATTTATTTATTTAAAGATGACACTTTTGGACTCTTCAGTAGCTCCTTCTATCATTAATTAAAACAATACTTAATGTAACTGCTGTCAGCTTCTAATTTGACTATTTCAATAATTAAAAGCTATTAGACACAATATCCTCCTCAGCTGGGTCATTAATATTACACACACTAATTGTTTAGTGTTACTCATATTTGAAAGAAACCTTTTTTTTCATTTTTTCTTGTAATTTCGGTTCTACTTATGTATCAATCCTATTTATTTGCTTAATTTATTTACCTGCTTCTTTAGCAGGCTAGTAAGAAATTCTCCTTCTATGCACACCTACTGATCTATGATGCCCACTGCCTCACAAAATTGAATAAATGTCCTGTTGTGAGATAAGCTCCCAAACACATTGCTAGAAAATGTCACCTTTTTGAAGAGCAGCTAAAACACAAAGCCTTACACTTCTACATACTACTACCAAGCCCATTTCTCAGGCTATTTCTATGAGCTTCACTGTTCCATATTAATCCTTTCCCACATTTACCATCCTGGACCTGCACAGTATTGTCAGACGTGAAACTGCTTTTCCAACTATAAAAGGCCTCAATCACACGTTCTTAGGCACCAGTGCATCTTCTTTTGCTCCTTAAACAATTTACATTTATTTTAAATGTTAAGGTTGGCAAATACTATTCCCATGATCTTTTGAAAAAACTCTTAATGCTCCTAACTTAAAACACTTTGCAAGCAAGTTTCTCCTGGCTGTGCCATAGCACACATAAGGAACCATCCCAGTTCCCTTCACTGCCACCCATTAAGATTCCAGCTGAAACATAAGTTTAGCAGTTTTATCAAGATTACAGAAGGAGAGATGGCTCTGAACTCCATGTCCTTTGTGTCAAAGCAAAGTTTTGAAGAGCTATTGTACAGGGCATTTGCGTTCAGTTTTTAAATCCTATTTCTTTTCTTGCACACATTATTTCCCAGGTCTAACATTAATGTTTTGAATTGGCTGCAACTTTCCCCTTCTAAACATGTGTTCTTCTCAGGAGAAGCTATTTTGAAATCTCTGTAATGTCTACACATCAATGCCTGTTTGCTCTTTTAACTCAAGTTGGGAAATTTATGTACCATGATTGCCTTGTCCATCCCTAATAATGATAATATTAATTCCTACCGTAACTTTTTAATGCTTGTAGAATTTGCCTTTTTTTTTTTTAAAGGTTAATAATTTTATTTTCTCTCTCTGCTCCTGTCTGTCTCCTCTCAGTTACCAACCTCACCTCTTTTTAGGGCAGAACATGTTAGCTTCAAACCAGTCATCTACATGCTTTTTCTTTCTGTTTGGCATTCTGTTCTGGCTGCCTGCAGCTTTTTCTGATCTAGTGAGCCACAGGGAGAGGAAGGAAACCCCTTGATACTCTCAGACGTTACCATTGCTTATGCTTCCTGGAGAGGGGCAAAAAGAGGGACACACCTCCCCCTGTGCCCTCAACTTTGGCACTTCCCTTCTGACACCACCTCCACCTCCTACTGCGACTTCCGTGGGTGCAGGAGAAGCACAACTCCAAGAACCACCGAGGGGCAGACTTCAGTCAGTCTCACTTCTAGGTCACTGAAGGCAAGAAAGCAGGCTTTGCTGCACTGCTGCTTCACACGAATACCAACCAAGCCTTTATACTGGTTTTTTGTTTTTTTGTTTTGTTTTTTTTTTTTTTTTAAACTGGAAGGCAGAAGGCAAGTCACCCATGGGGTTCTGTTGTTTACAGCAAAAGAGAAAATCTGTTTTATTATATAAAGTTCAGGATGGGCAGAAGAAAGGAAAGTGGCTCCTAGGCTGCAGCACCTTCACTGACAATGACGTCTGCTCAAAAAGTCACTTTTTAAACTTTTTCTCAACTACTTAATGAATGAAGTGATGGAGTGAGCAAGTGTGTGTGTGTACTCATAGATACACACTCATGGTTAGTGAGCAAGTTCAGTGCAACTCCTTTATAAACCGTCATTTGCATTCAAAATTAGTGCCAACATACCTCTTAAACACACACTGTATGGGTAATCTTAACTTTTTCAAATATACATAATAGAAGAGTCTGGCAAAATAATTTTTAAAGAAAAAACCCTAATATTTTCAATTTGCTTAGTTGCACCACTTGTTTTTATAGTAATTATTAATTAAAAAAACCCCCACACTAATGCATAATGGAAAGTTAATGTTAATTTTTTGCAACCTAGATAGGTGGACTTTTCAGGAGCAATTTTATCAGAAGTTGTGCTCCCAAGATACTTTAAAAGATTTTCATTACCCTTAAACTTACCAAACATTTGCTTTCCTGCCCTCTAGTGCTCATGTCTGTATAAGTCTTCTATACAAGCCTGGTTTTGGAAACCTTCTATCATATAAATGGTCCTACCAAAATAAAATGATTTACTTATTGCAATACTACCAGTGATCTAAGCGGTTACTTTTGCTGCTCCCGTGCCATAATGCTACCCATGCAGTTATCTGAAAGGCAAGACTTTTTAGGTTACTTTTCATTTTACAAACCCAATGCAAGAGAGTTTTCTTTTTCAGTTTTGGACCATATAATGGAGTTTTAAGTGCACAAATTGAACCTCACTTTTGGATTTATTATTAAAACATTTTCACTGCTAGCTAAAGCTGTTGGTTAGCCATGTGTCAAACTACAAGTTTCCACAGTATTTACAGCTTTTTTTCCAAGTTAAAAGCTTTTCTATTTAATGGAATTAATTTCACCTCCAGTGATGTAATTTGTTTTACTATTGTGCATGCTTACATTTAAAACAATTGGTTAACATCCTACATCTGTAATTACTCCCATGCTACCAGAAAACCAGTGAATTAAATTTATTTAGTGTTATGGATATGGAATGTCATACAGTACATGTAAAGACACTTCAGGATGAGTAAAGCAGAACTAATTGCACAAGGGATTAAAGGTTCACCTCAATAGTCAGTATTACCAAATCATTACAGCTTCCATCTTCAGAGTGCAAGGTATGTCATGCAAAAAAAACAGCTCAAAAAATCCCCAAACAGACAAAACCAACATTGTGGTACCACTTAAAATGCTATCATACCACAACATTTTACAAGACATTAGGTGATCATTCATACAGAATGAAGCATTTTAGCAATAACAAAAAAGTTTTAAACATAATTAACAGATTTTGCAGGAACACCAATTCCAGCATTACTATACCTAAGGAACAGGCAACATGCTGGGAGAAAGTACGTAAAAATCAAAGCCTTTTGTATTCATAGCCAATATTACTTTCTGCAAGAATTCTGCAATCTTATTATTCAGTTTCCTCACACAACTGGGTAAGGTTCAATACATTTTTACATAGAGCATAATCACATAACCACCACATCAGCAAGAGGATTTCATTATCTTGACCAGTTACTACATTTAAAACCATGGTATGATAACATGCCCTGCAAACAAATTGTCTACTGGGACAGTGTTCTGTATGTAGAAATACTAAACAACTAAAATATACTCCTACCCACTTTAACCCCAAGTAAACTATAATTTGTATTTACACACTTTTGAAATATGTAGATAAAAACTGCAGATGGAAGAGAAGCAGAAAGAATACAGAGGAGAGCTGTGATAGTGCTGACAGAACTGATGAGTGCATTCAGTAACCCTGAACGAGACTTGGACCTTTTGCACTCTCCCTCTGTCACAGAGGGCTTACCAGGGCTACCAAAGGCAGCTGCTGCTGTGGAGGAGCTGCTCATCCCACTCACTCACTCTTGCCCTGCTGGCCGAGCTGGGAGCAGAACCACACACTCCAAACAGCCCTACTCAGCTGAAAGCAGATAAACACACCCCAACACACCTGCCCCAACTACAGCCTGAACGTTAACATGGAAGAGACACCGGAGATGACAGGATGGCTTTTCACATTTCTGCCTTGCAATACTCATATTCTCAGGGCACCAACAGGTAGATTAATCTACCAAATAAGCGTACAAAATAGGCCAAGTTTTTTGCCCTCATATTAGGAATAAAATATTTAACTTCCTGGCTTAAATGTAAGCAAGAGAAACTCAAGAAAGAACTCCTTGAGGTTAATTTTCCATCTACATTCAAAGGAAATAATTTACTAAAACTGTAACTTGCAAGGTCTTCTAGCCTTGAAGTGAGGATATGGGCTAACTATTCCTACAGTTAAATAAAAAACTTCAAAAGACATTTTACAGGAATAAAATATGCAACTCTAGGAAGTAGGTGGAAAACCACTTTAGTATTCATCTGGAACATTCTATTCATAGCCCATCATTCTCAGGAATGTATATTTCATAAATAAAACTACAGAACAAAAATTTGTGTATTAAATCTTAAGTGGGATATTTCTAAACCTCTTCAGATAAAATTTGTTTTCTCCCCCACAATTAAGTGATAAAACCTGAAAAAAATTGCCTTTTCAAATCTATCTTGCATGAGAAAAAACAGATGAACAACCCCAACATCTGGAAAGAACATTTTGTACAAGATTGCAGTTCTAAAACACGTATATTACAAAGCAATGTAAATAAATACCAGGCTAGTACAAAAGCTCTTATTTACAGTTTTACAAATGAAAACGTTTTCAGTGTAAATGCAGTGTTTTAAAGAACACAATATTAGTAAAATGAGTTCCTGTATAGAGCATTACAATTTCTGCTAAATTTGAATGCAGTATTGTATAAAACCATTGTTTCAAGATAATTTTGTTTATAATTTAGTACAGCCAAACCCCAGTTTATGCCTGGAACAGTATCTGTTAAAGTGCTGAAAAAGAGGACATTTCTGAAATTTTAGAAAAACATACTGTACATTATTAAAGCTTTATCAAGTCAAAACTGGTATATTTTGTTCACATTTGCTACCACACCACCTGTGAATGGAAGTTTTTCAACAAAAACTTGTAATTAACAGGATGGCAGCCACTGGTATCTTCTCATCCAAAGTCTGATGGTTTCCCACAAATAACTTGTTTTAAGCTTCAGTGGTGGCTTCCGGTTTCATGATCTGGTAAGTAATCAAGTATTCTGGATAAGCCTGAAAGAGTGACACACAGATTTTTTATTATGATTTCATTCTCTCAATGAGTTCAGAATGTTTGTTAGAGAGGAGAAAAAACTATTTATGCCAAAGAAAAAATTGCAAAATGTCAAAGATAAAATCGCTGGAGCATCAGGGAACACATATCCTTTCACCTGCAACCACAGCAAGTCCTAGCACCTCAAACATAAGAAAATGCATTACATGCCCTTGGGAGAAAAAAAAAAAAAAAAAAGAGTCTGAAAACCCAACCCAAATGCTGTTTACCTGCTCTCCTCTGTAAATGACGTACTCTGCCAATGCCAATCCATTTACACTGGGTCTCCCAGTAACTGAGTGATGTCCTGGGGGAGAATGAGCCATTTTCATAGCACTGAACTGCAGGAAAGACTTGCCCAATGTCACACGACAGAAGAGCAACTGCCTGTGTTAAAAGGAAAAAGGACCATGAACATTCAATGCTTATGAATGATTATTCATCTTTGTAATTTGAAACTTTCACTTGAGGAGAACAGTGGAACTTTGAAGCCACTTCAGTAAGTCTTTGTAGTTCACAAAATCCTGAAGTTCAGTTTTAGAGAACAAAAGTTATGCTCCTTTTGGAAAGCTCTTAACAGCATGCTTAACGAGGTACTCTGAGATTGTCACTACATTTTCTTTAAAATTTCTAAATTTATTTAGTTATTTTAATTTGTTTGCTTTTAAAATAAAAGTTTTCTAACCACCCCCCCCCGCATCACTCATACTGACAACATAATTCAAGTGTGTTCTAAAGCCAGATTTGTATCTAACAGCCAAATCAACATCAAGGCCAAGTGCAAACTCTGCGTTATTGATAGTCTAAAACACAATTTACAAAAGCAAAATCACATTCCTTTGAAGGACTTACCTGTGGCAAACATAACAAGATCTATCTTTGTGAATTGGACATCCAGTGCCACCTCCAATTCCATACACATACTGATTGCTTTTGGAAGAATTTTCAGCAAAATAAATCCCAGCTCCAAACATGCCCCCTATATAGGCATGTCTCTCATCAAAGCCTTTGTGAATGATTGCATTCACAAATGGGGAGCCTAAGAGAAAGGAGGTAAAATATTGAAAATACAGTATACAGATTTTTTTTATGTGTCCCACTTCAATCATCAATTCCCATTATGTTGGAAACTACATGGCCTTCATTATGAGTACATACTGTGAACTTGTTTAATTTGTTCATCAGGACAAACGATGTACTGGTGCACAGAAGAGCCTTCAATTGGCTTTAATTTGCTAATGATAAGCTACCTTTTCTGGAATGCTGAACAAGACTAACTTATCAAATTATAAAACCAAGAAAACAAAAAAAATCCCAACCCAAAACAGCCATAGCAGAAAAATGTTTGACCCTTTATCATTTTGGTCATACAGCCAACAAAACACACTTGAGGAGGGACACTACTTAATCTTCATTCGTAATTGCTAAGATGTTTTCACTTCAATCTTTGAAGTCTCCGTCAGGGAGAGACAAGAAGATGCAAATTTCAGAAGAAAGATACAGTGCATTATATCATCATATTGCGACATATACAAACACTTGTTTATAAAAACTCATATAAAATGTAGAACCTATTTCCACTGAGGAATTTACTGTGCTTGAGACAGTTGAAACCCTCCAATTAAATACTGATTAAAGTGAATTTCAAAATCTCACCATGAAACAGCATCCTTTCGTTAGCATGGTTATGATTCTCTTCAGAGACCTCTTTCCTCCTGTGAGTGTATCTTTCCCACAGTTTTTTGTTGCACACTTTCTGAATCTGAAACAATCAAAATGCAAAAGTTCCATCTTGAAAGTGAAAAGGTCTGTTCATTTTAGTGGAGAGATGTATAACTACAGCCACTACACTACAGTTACACTGCCATTTAAACAAGAATATCTTCCTTTGAACTCAATGAAACACAAATTCTCTAACTTACCCTGCACAAGCTGATTTTTGTATCATGACAAGTAAAACATAACTATATACTAAATAAGAATCAATTCATTTTAAAGAGCTCTTGAGTAATACTTCATAATTCAAGTTTAGTAGGCTTAGTCACAATTCTACTTGATGCCAAATCACTACTAAAATGATCAACTAGTAAATTAAGAAATGCCTTCCATGAAGACTTCTGGAACACTTTTAAAAGAAAATAAATTACGTACTCCCTGCACAGGTATGTTGGACACTGCAAAGCCTTTTATACGTGAATATACCATAGTAATTCTACTGGGAAAACTGTAGTATCAGTTCAGAATAAAACTTAGTAGTACTTAGTACTTAGTAGTAGGAAAATAGATAAATACAAACCAAATGTTTTATACTTGTTTGATGTTAAATCAGGCCAAAATAAGTACCCTTAGTTCCACATCACAAGAGTTTTGCTTCCACTTCCTGCTGATTTTTCCCCCTTGCCATTTTCCCTCATGAGAAACCTTCTTTTGTTTCCTGTAGAACATCCTGTCTTTTTATTCAAACATTCTGCAGTTTTCTGTGAGGTCTTTTATGTCAATTTCTCATAAAATTTCTTCCTATTAACCCGTAAGTAGCTTTTCCATATAAGCTTACTCCGAATTACCCTGGAAGATGATCTTTATCCTATGCACGCCTCAGAAGGACCCACACATCTTGTCACATTATGGAACTCCAACAAATGTAGGACATTTTATGGACAGGTCACTTTCAGCCATAACTTTAAAGGTGTAACCATTGACCATAAAAATGCAACAGGTACCTTTAAAATGTTGTATCTATTGAAGACTCCACCAGCGTGTCCTCCATCTCTGTGCTCCCGGACAGTGCTCTGCATCTAACATTGAGAATTTGAGGAGGATCACATTGGTTCAGAACACGTTCAACACAGAAATATTTCCTTCACACAAGTCAAATAACCAAAAGAACTAATTTTTAATTATGTATTAAAACAATTAAGAAATCATACAAGAATTTTTTAAGCAATGACTGTATGTTAAATAATGTCAGCTTTTATGGATGCACATGAACAGGTTTTATAATTTTTAAAAAAAACGCATGTTTGGACTAGTCCACGATCTAGTTTTCAAATCGGAGAAGACTGTCACTAATCTATCTAGAATTCTGTTTCTTTGATATTTTACCCTGTGTGATTACGACACTTTGAAAGGAAGTGATTTAAAACTGTGTATAACAGACAGGCAGTCAATTGTTAGCACATAATTTATACGATATATGAAAGAGCTTTTCTATATAGTAGAGATTTTAAAAACACTACAAGCAGTAATAATATAAGTAAGAAAAAATTATAGACATCATGAGCACAGATCATAAGCGCTGCTAAGTTGAAAATTTGAAGTTTGCTTAGACAAGCTTTTCTTGGACTTAATGATATTTATTGCATTGTTAAGTAGTCTAGAAATACCTCTTCAGTAGCAACAACAAAATACTCAGAGACTACAAAGAATGCCATACCTCTTCTTCTACTGACTGAAATTCCTTATCTTCAGTGGAAAGGTCAATGAGAATAGTTCCACTACCAGAAGTATTTAGAGTCAGGTATGGGTTAAGTCCTGTGAATGTAATAAAATATAACAACATTTTCAGAAACTGCTGATCTGGAACGATACCAGTAGGACTTTTTCAAGGGACCATTTTCTCAAAACGCATTTTACCAGATGAAGAGCTTATTTGCTAAGGAAGGTAGAAAATACAAATTACTTTATTGCCTTCCACTGGCCACAGACATTTTTGTGCATGTGTAAGTGTGATCCCTTAAATTATTTCATTACTTTCAAACTTTTTCAGCATCTCTGTAACCTCTACCCATACACTGACCACGCATACACCATGAATGGCAGGAGAAGCACAGCAGCTAGACATGGATGCAGATAACTGCAATCATTTCATTGATCTGTGGACACTGATCAGTTCTTCTCTCAGCAAGAACCATCATTTCAGACACACTAACCCATTTGTGTGTTCTTAGCTCAGTATGACAATGTACATGACAGGGAAACCACTTGTAAGCAGTTGAAGTGCCATTTTCTAGGACAAGTTTTATTATCAGTTCTTTTTAATGAGATATAATTTGGAATAACATCAATTATTTATAAAAATTGTTATATAAAGGCAGTACTACATGATAATTTAAAATGAGTATGTACCTTGTTGTCCAGAAATAAGTCTTTCAACTCCCTTGATAATTTTATGCCTATGGCCATAAGCATTAATTCCAATTTCCTTCAATTCTTTGTGTCCCATTTCAACCAATACATCCAACGTTATCTATAATGAAAACAATACCATTTTTTTTAGTAGAACAACTGCCAATGGTAGTGAAAATATACCTCACAATATCTGAGAGAAAAAGCAAGTGTGAAAAGAACATGAATATAGAGACTTTAGTGTATTATTCTCATATTTCACTTTTACTCAACTGTTTTCTCCAATCATTTTGTCTTTAAATAAATATACTACAAACTACAATTACGTAATCAGTATTGCTTGCAAGGTTCATGTTTCTGACTGAAAAATACTTTTCTAGATGTATTCAAGCCGACACAGAAACTGAAATTATTAATCAACAGTGACTACTTACTCACAATACCATTTATACCGCTGAAAGGAAACACTGCTACATTGTTGAACTGATATCTACATGACTGCCCCCAGCTTCATTCCCTTGCTTTCTAGGGTTGAGTTATCTGGAAAAGAATGCAGCCACTTACCTGTTCTCTCTCAAATATGTCAATTAGATGTTCAAGGCCAAGGTTCCGCACAAACTGATTAATGCTAAAATCTACACCTGAAACTGTGCAAGAAGAAAAACTCACAATGAACATTCATACCTGTAGTGTAAAATAAAGTATACATGTCTCACCCTGCCTGTGGCAACAATGAGAGAGACAGAAATTCCTGGTCTATTGCAGATGGGGATTAAATATATCACTAACTAGTAGCAACTACTACTTAGTTCATCCTAGTTCTTTAAGATTTCTACCTTACTAGGAGTAGTCTTTGTGCTTCCACAAAACAAGCCACTAATTAGCTACCAGAAATGCAAATTCAAACAGAAAAGATATTGAGAATAAAAAATGTCACAGAAGTAATCTTTTTAAGATAATTCATCAAGAATAGCTTCTTAGAAACTAGATAATGTTTGCAGTAAAATACTGCTTGGTATGGAGCCCAATTTCATTTGACTTTGCTTTAAAAACACAACTCACCATTTTGTTTCTCTACACCAAAAGTTTAGAGTTTAAAGGTTCTGTAAGGGGAAAGTAGTAAAATCTTATACTACAAGACTTTCAGACTTCTGTTCTTGATGAATGGCATCATAGGAATAGAAATACTGCACATGCCATAGTAACTGTATGCATGTATGAGAAACTTCACACTTTTGTAAGCCTTTTTACCACACGTTAAGGAATGTTATTCATTCCTCAGAAAGCCTTACCTTCTTTTTTCTCCAAAACAGTAGCTCCCTCTGCACAGTTTGTACCAACAACAGAGGGGAGCTCAGAAAAACTACCAGACAAGTTGTCAAGACTACTTGCAGCAGACAGACTGGATGGACTGGATGGAACAGAAGACAGGGAATCAGCTGCAGAACCTGTAGTCTGAGACACACTTATGACCTGAGGTTTGTAGCAAGTTGGTAAGGCAGAAGGAGGCATTGCCGCTGTCAATAACGCACTGACATCATCTGCCTGAAGAGTGAGAAACCAACTCATTAAAACAGAGGAACACTTTTGCACAATGTTTTTTCCAAGAATGCACTATCATTATTTCAGATTTCTTAAGTATACTACAAAATAAATAAATGCATATTGGGAAAATAGGCATTTTACAGTGCAGTTTACACACGGCCTGTTGTGCCAACAGCAAGCATGAAACTGTAAAATAATAAAAGCTCTAAAATAAAAGCTGAAATAAGCTTTAGGGACAGTTAAACAGAATTAATTTCCCAGGGAAAATGAATAGAAGTTTCTACTGGCAACAGAAATTATGAAGCAAACAGTTACTCTGAGTGTAGCTTTGGATTGCATTATAATACTTAGGAAAAACATGCCCAAAAACTTAACAGCTGGATAGTTTCTGAAATTTATGTAGCTACAAATTTTGCTTACATTTTATTGTCACAATTTTTGTACTAGTCAAACTACAAGCACTGAATTAAAAGCATCAAATTATAACCATAAATTCCTTCTTGTTGCTTTGGGTTTATTCCCCCTAATCTA